ATGATGACTCTGGAAACAGTTGTCCTGACTGTTGTAGAGATGAGAGCACAACTCTTATCTCACAAGCCTTGTGTGGAATCATCAGGGACAGCCAGGGTCCCTTTAGCTTCTGCCATGGTTCTGTAGATCCACAAGCCTACTTTGATAGCTGCGTGTTTGATGTGTGCGTTTCTGAGAACAATAATGATGTTTTGTGTCACTCTGTTCAAGCCTATGCGAGTGCTTGTCAATCTGCTAATGCCATTGTCTATCCCTGGAGAGAAAATGCATCCTGTGGTAAGTAGCTGGAGTGTACATGAAATGTAAAAAGACAGACTACAGATTAATTTGTTTTCTTCTTTCAAGGTGTTTTCCCCGTTTATTTAATGTGCCCCTATAATGCCATTTTTACAGTTCCTAATATTGCTTTGGGAGTCTCCTACAATAGGATTACATGCATGCAAGGTCAAAAAACGTTTCTCAAACGATTAGTTCAAAGCCGTTCTAAGATTCAGTCTCTCTAAACCCCTCCTTTCCGTGAGCCTGCTCTGCTCTGATTGGTCAGATGGCATAGTCTGTTGTAGTCTATGGCATACAGTGCGTGTCGGAAATGATACGCCTATTTCAATAGTTCTGTATTTTGAACACTCTGTAGAAAATATAAACATCTATTATTTATTCTACTTACAGGTTGTGATTCAGTGGAGCAGCTGGTCTAAATAAACAGGATACTGATCAATCTTTCAACAGCAAGCGTTTTGGGAATCCCGTGTTGAACTCCCCGAGATTAGAGTTTCAAGGTGTTTTCCCCGTTTATTTAATGTGCCCCTATAATGCCATTTTTACAGTTCCTAATATTGCTTTGGGAGTCTCCTACAATAGGATTACATGCATGCAAGGTCAAAAAACGTTTCTCAAACGATTAGTTCAAAGCCGTTCTAAGATTCAGTCTCTCTAAACCCCTCCTTTCCGTGAGCCTGCTCTGCTCTGATTGGTCAGATGGCATAGTCTGTTGTAGTCTATGGCATACAGTGCGTGTCGGAAATGATACGCCTATTTCAATAGTTCTGTATTTTGAACACTCTGTAGAAAATATAAACATCTATTATTTATTCTACTTACAGGTTGTGATTCAGTGGAGCAGCTGGTCTAAATAAACAGGATACTGATCAATCTTTCAACAGCAAGCATTTTGGGAATCCCGTGTTGAACTCCCCGAGATTAGAGAAGCAGTCGTCAGTAGAATGACGTGTTTGTGGGTGGGGTCAAGTTGTTCATGGCCGGCCAACGTAGAACATAGGCGCGCATTATGCAAATGTGTTACCCCAATGTGTGAAGTGGGATTCAAATTACTAACGACTCGTTTCAGCTGTACAGAGTCAATTCTTTATTTTGGGAGACAGTAACTTTATTTATTGTGCACTTTCAGCTTTACAACTTTGCAGATCGTTTACATTCACATACAGCTACATTACACACTGCATGAAAGGCAATAATGGAAATGGCATAATAGGGGCACCTTAAAAAAATATATTTTACATACTATTAGATACATTCTACAAATACATTTTGTTGTTGCATTTCCAGTCATGGACTGCTCAGCGAACATCCCAAATAGCCATTATGAGGTGTGTGGCACAGAGTGTGGCCATACGTGCGCCAGCAGCATTGATGCTAGTTGTGAACACACATGCTCAGAAGGTTGTTTCTGTGATGAGGGATATGTGAGGAGTGGAGGACTCTGTGTACCAGTGGAGCAATGTGGCTGCTTGTATGATGGATTCTACTATAATGTAAGGATTAAGCATCATGTTTTTACCTTGATGCTTTTTTTGTAGGTGAATATACTTACTTGACACTATGTTCTGAAAATGTAACATTCATTATTATCATTATGGTTTTATAGATTGGTGAACAGTTCTGGGATTCAACATGTTCCCAACGCTGTCAGTGTTTTGCTCCAAATGATTTACGCTGCTCTGCATCTGTCTGCCCACCAGCCTTGGAGTGTGCAGTCAGAAATGGACATCGTGACTGCTACAGTCCAATGTCCACCTGCACAGTCTGGGGCGATCCACACTACATCACTTTTGATGGAGCTGTGGCTCACTTTCAGGTATGAACTGGTAAATTACTGTTTTTTTTTATTAACTGTTGTTTTGAATCCCAATAGTAGGAGACAACTAACTTAATAGTCAGGTTTATTCAAAGGAGGTTTAGGAGGGTTATTGATGTGACAATGTATTTAATAAAATATATTTCATAGCACTGAAGATTCTTCAATTTATGAATGTCTGCAATGTCTTGCATGACATTTCTGGATTTGAAGTTGCATCTTTGAGGTAGAAAGGTGTAATGGACACTATGTGTATTGTATTAATCCTACCAGGGAACTTGTTCATATGAGATCGCCCAGACCTGCGGTAATGTTACAGACAGTGATCTAGAGTTCCGTGTGGTGGCCACCAACAGGCACCGTGGGAACATGGTGGTATCATTTGTGTCTGCAGTGGATGTTTGGTTGTCTCAGCGTGGACAACAGACGCACATCACAATTGGCCAAAACATGAGAGTTAAAGTAAGTTGGACTTCAAATGGTGTCAATATATATATGTAATTTCTTTCACTTTCTTTCTTTTCTAAGTTGGAATTTTCTGATTTCCCTCCAGGTTGATGGGAATGCCATTGACACACTAGCATATCAAATCAATGATCTTGTAGAGATACATGAGGAGCATGGATTCGTAATTCTAAATGCTTTCAATGATTTCATTGTCCATTTTGATGGACATAGCAGCCTTCTAATCAGAGTGAGTGAAAGATTCTATGGATCTCTATGTGGAATGTGTGGAAATTTCAATGGTAATCCTGCAGATGACAAAGTGCTGACCAGTGGAGACCCCGCTCCTGATGATGATTCCTTTGGCCATAGCTGGCAATCAGACACCAGCATTCCAGGGTAAGAACCATGAGATTTTAGGACAGTTGTTTTTACCTGGGGGGGTCATATGATTAAAAAAAATGTTTCTAAGGTTTATTTTGTGAACAGGGAAAAAGGTTCAAAGGTTTACGTCTTAAGAATATAATATGCAAGAATAGCAAATCATGTTAGTTGTTCAACTGTAAACTCTTTCTGTGTCCAAGTGATGAAACAGTACAAGGCATTTAACTGACCTTAATTTTTTCATATATTCATGTACTTCAGTTGTGGTGCCAGAGACCAGACAGGTAATGCTGATGAGTGTCCATCCAGGCAGAGGTACTCTGCTCTCTGTAGTATTATCACCAACACCACTGGCCCCTTCCAGAACTGCCATCTTCATGTTGACCCTGCACCTTACTACTACTCTTGTGTGTATGATCTGTGTCTGTACACACGTGCAAATGGCATGTTATGTTCAGCTGTTGAGGCCTATGAGACAGCTTGTGCAATCTTGGAGATACAGATCCCAGAATGGCGCTCGGGTCTGCGGTGCGGTAAGTCATAATAATGTTTCAGCACAGATTATTTTGTGGTCTTGTCACCAGTGTTGCAAAAAAAAAAAAAAGTAGTAGGTAGCTGAACTATCAACTCCTTTGACAAAGTGCTTTCAAATGATTCAGTGCATGAAAGAGCTATGATTTTGAACATTTTGCTAACCTAACCTGTCACAAATCAGTCATCGCTAGTTCTTAAGAGCAATTTCACAGTGAACATAGACTTAGACATATAGAGGGTGTTTATACAGAAATTTTAAAGGTAAATTAATGAAATCCCCCAGCAATTTAATTCTAATGCTAATTAATTCTAATTCTACTTCTACTGTCAAAAAAAAAAGAAGCTATTATTTGTGGATCTCGGTGGGAAAATTATGGACTATATGAAATTCACTTTAATTCACTCAAAAATATATATTTCATTTCTTTGAAGAATGTACAGCAATGATCATTCAGGGGGCTCAGAATGTTGTGCTCTCACTCTGTTATTATGACTCAATGTCTTTGTGTTGTATTTCATCTATCTGTGCTTCTCTTAGACGTGAGAGATCGCTGCTCTGAGCTCAGCTGCTCTGAGGATGAATGGTGTGGGAAGAAAAATGATGTTTATGGCTGTATGTGTAACGACGACCTACCCAGACCACAAGCTGACTCTTTTGGTTGGTAACATTCCACAACAGAATGTGAAATATTATATATTTCTTTCTTTTTGGTCTATTACATTTTCTTTTTTAATACTTCTGACAATCTTTTGGGTGTTTTTAATTCTCTCAGATTTCTCAGAAACCTGTGAAAGCAGCTCTGGCTCCATGTCTGTGTCTCGCTGTCAGCTCTTTGAGGCTGGTTTTCCAGCTGACGTCTTACACCTCAATGATCCCAGCTGCAAAGGAATGGTCCGGAATGGCAGAGTGGAATTCCATTTTGATAACGATGAACACATCTGTGGCACAAATCTTGTGGTAAGACAAATTAGACAAATTATGTATAATCTAAACATTTGTAGTGTCTCATAAACCCAAAGGATTGGATTGACTGATACAAATTTCTTGTGGGTTTTATATTTAATAATTTTACTTTAATAAATGTTTTTTTAACACCTTGAATTCAATTTAGTCTACATGTCAAAATGTTATGCATGTTGTTCACAGGCCAACGGTACCCACTTTATCTATGATAACTTTATTCTGGGAACACCGAGGTCAGAAGGTCTCATCAGCAGAGAGAAAATCCTTAAGCTTTCTTTCAGCTGTGTTTATCCACAAACACAAACACTTTCCATGAATGTGGAAATCAACCCAGTGGAGACGTGAGAGTCACATACAAACTCTGATTCCAGCTGTACTGTTTTATTAAAGGAGTAGAATTGTAGTCGTAAAGCTTAGTAGTTTTAACACAGATCTGTCCATTATTTCAACAGTGTTGTGCGCAAGACGCTCCCCGCTGGTGAAGGGAGATATCAGGTTCGGATGATTCCATATGAGGATGATGAGTTTACCCAGCCCTTCACTGGTAAAGTGGATGCAGAGCTCGACCAGAAGATGAATGTGGAAGTTCGTGTTGAGGGGGTTGACAGCCGCCAGTTTGCCCTGGTGATGGACACGTGTTGGGCTACACCTGTGAATGATCCTGATGACAGTCTCCGCTGGGATCTCATCATTAGAGAGTAAAGCGATATTGTTTTTTCTGTTCCTTAAAGCTCAGTCTTAACTCACTGTAACATTTTTAACAGTAACTTTTGATCTGCACATAGACTGAATACATAATAATCCATATCCCTTTTAAGATGACCTGACATATTATCTTCCAATATTGCAGTACTAATGCAAAGAATTCCATTTATTGTATATAGAATGCTAATGTGTGATGATTTTCAGGAAATCGCTTTTGACTTGAATGTCTCTCAAGTAAAATAAATAAATTTGGTGATTCTCAGGTGTCCCAATCCAAATGACGACACAGTGGAGCTGCTGCAGAACGGCGTCTCGACATCCAGCCGTTTCTCCTTCCGGATGTTCATCTTCACTGCAAACTCCACGAAGCTTTACCTGCACTGTGCTGTTCACCTTTGCCTTCTGTCGAGCAATCGCTGCTCAATGGTGAGTTTAGAAAGCCTCTCATAATTAATAAAAATGCGAGGATATGTTTCTGTGTAGCTATAGAACTAATGTATGGAAATGTATCTCCATAGTTAAATGTAATGGTTAAATTGTAAAGGTTTAAGATTTTACTATTGATAAACCCCAGTTGATCAAACATTAATTATTGGAAGAAAAATGTTACCCTTAATGTTCATGGTGGTAAGGTTTGTCCTCTGCTGGAGACTTTTGTGCACTGCTTATGTTTCATGTTTGTCCAGTGATATTTAACAGGGATTCACATTGCTGAATTTTCTCTTTTAGGACTGTAATTCTGGACATCACTGGAGAGAGCACAGGTCTCTGGATTTCCATGACAGTGCTTCCATATCCATGGGTCCTCTTATGTTGTCTGAAGGGACCACAGGTGAATATTTTGTTTATTTAATCATTTGAAAATTAAGGTTTCTGTTGATTTCTGCTATCAAAACATTACAATTCACTGTGCATTATATTCCCTGTTCACAGATAAGTGGGTCCCAGAGCAAGTGAAGGTATCTGAGGCTTCTTGTTTGTGTGCTTCTCTGATGCTGTTACTTGTTCCTCTGTTCAGTTTCCTGGCCCTATTTTAATGTTTTTCTTCAAACATAATGTAATCTTTTATATGCATAATTTCTAATCCCATTTTAATGAATATTCGAGGGTTTCCTTGTCATAAATGTTATTTTATGTTCCATAATCAGATATTTAATCATTTACATTAATTGTTATATACTACATTAATCTTATTTTACTTCAGAGGTTGTTTTACATTACCAAAGACAATCCGATTCTTGTTTATTATTGCTTAATCAAGCAAAAACATTAAAAAGTAATTCCTCTTCTGCAGTTGCTTTTCAATTCAACATAATTTTATAAAAATTGGGTAGCAGACTTTTAGAAATATGTGATACTGCGATCAGACTTTGTTGGCACCCTAGACAAAATTTTAGAAACATTGAAACTGGACATTAAATTAATATTATAAAACTTATAAATATAAAGTAAAAAAAAAAGTATGACAATAATGACAAATTTGACAACAGCCTGTTCCAAATTACCTTCTAATTTTTTAAAAAGTATACCAGAACTAAACAAAATACAAACAGGCAAAGCATGATAAACAAAGTTGTGAAGTACTGTATCTGACTAAAATGTTTGTCACATTTGAATCATGATAGAGAGTTAAGTCATTCAATGTACTGTGAACAGCATAACACAAGCACTGTGAGCACTGTCTGTAAGGAGAGGGTAACGGCAATATAGATATGCATTTATTTAATTTATTATAAGGAATATATAATAAGGACACAAAAATGCATTTGAAATGATGGGAGAAAATTGGGAGAAACTGAAATGGAAGAGCTGGGTAGGTCAGAGTACATTCAGTGTGAGACAGTAATTTGCATGTTCATTTCTGATCAGTCCTTTGAGACTGCACTGACATATTACTACATCTTACTTCAAAAACCCTGTAAAGTTGTCTTATGTCTTATGATCAGTCTGTCTTTGTTACCAAGCAAATAAAATAGCTGCTTCCCAACATCATCTTGTGTATTGTAATCTCAAAGATTTTTACATCACAACTCAACACGACACAGGATTAAACATTAACAATGGTTAATCACAGTAATATAATATGAAAAAAATAAGTAAATAAATGTTGATTACATTAAGAAATTAATACATAAAGGTAAAGTACATAAAAGAGAGAAAGATTAATGTGAAGGAAGGGGTCTCATCCAGATGTTGTGCCAAAGTGTTTAAATCTTGAAAAATGCAAGGAAAACAATTAGTGTGTATTAATTAAACTGCATCCCGTTGCACAAATGGTAAGTACAAACACACCGTTTTTCATACAGTGAGTTCTCGTGAGGTCTATTCATCTTTATATATAAGCTATGATGATAAGGGCAGGGTCAGCACTAAGTGGGAGCTAGGCTGGACATTGTCCACCCAGCGTTGCTGAACAAAAACGGCAATGAGCAGAATTCTTTCTTATTTTGGCCAATATACGGGACATTGCGGCTAACACAAGACGTTGCATTTTTGGCAACACTATCTATATTCATAGCAGCTGCTGGCTTACACTGGTCACGTCAACGAGTGTGTCTAAATGACCGACTTTACTTCCAAGTTTTAAGCATGCAAAGATAAAACAATACACCTTTACTAGGCTAGTTAACTGCAATGAAATGATCATCTGCACAAACCACTGCCATGACTTGAACCGTGGTCTCGCGCTGATGACGTAACATCCAGGTAGGCACGCCCACAGCGGGTTATCGACAGGCTCAGATCTGATTGGCTAAGGAGTACGAGTGTCCCGCGTGGGAGGAGTTTGCTGCCAGGAAAGTCTCAAAAATACACACACATATCCAAAGTGATTCACAGTCCACGACGAACTCCTGAATTTTAAATATTCAAAATTTTTTGCTCACAGTTGTACATATGTGAATTGTGTTTTGCATTTGTGAAACGTATTTTATGAATGTATATTATTATTTCGTGCACATGAATTGGGTTTCATGCATGTGAATTGGGATAATTCACGTGTCTTTTGCGTGAATTATTATTGAGTCTAATCTGCTTCCATAGACTTAGGCAATAAAAGTGTTCTACCTTGATAGGAAGGCAAAGAAGAAGCTGTCGCTGTCACAAAAACCTGCTCAGAAATGTTTTTGTTGCAACAACATACTCGCACACTACACTGGGCTCTGACTGCCTGATCTGCTCATCAATCCCCAGCTGCAGAACTGCAGAACCCTTACGTCACAGCAGTCTCAGGACAGCAGCGCCAAGCCGGAAGTGGACAGAGCAACATTTATCTTACTAAGCATAGTGCCATGTAGTGTTTTGAATCACTTCAAAGTTTTACAGTTTTTCTCGATTGCTTAAACACTATCACCAAGATTTTGAACTAAAATTTCAAAACCATAATGCCATTTATCAAAAAGCACACCCATTTCCCTAAACTATAAACACTATTCCCCTTTTTGACACATGAATCAGATTTGTTGAACTGTCACTGCAAAACTCTACACACAAATCCCTTTATTTCTCATTGCCTAGACCATGTTGTCATTTAGAAAGCACTAGCATTCAATATTGTTCACTCAAGTCAGCATAGCTTGAGCTCAATTAGCACACAGTTACCCACGTGGAAACACTAAGAGTCAAAATTTATCACACACCAATCAGAACCTTCAATAGATAGATAAAAGAGCCCAAGTCAGTTCATTCAGTTTTGGAACAATGGATCCAGAGAGATGTGATTGAAAAGGTCGAGGACACCAGAGAGGAGGAGGAGGAGGAGGAGGAAGAGGATGAGCAAGAGCAGTAAGGAGTGGAGGAAGAGGTGAAGGAAGAGGAGGAGGATGAGGGGCAATGAGACAAGGAGTCTCAGATGAAATCCATGCCACTAGATGACCATGTCCTTGTCCATGGTATGACTATGAGGGAGGCTGGGCAATGAGTTCAGCCAAACTTAAGTTGCTTCACCGTCCACTCGATCATAAGAACCTTCAGGGAGGAAAACAGGTAGGTGTACCTCAGTGTACTCTACTGTAACTTTTGAGTGCTGTACTCTGTTACAACACATGCATCAAGTTGCCTTACATACAGATAGAGTTTCTGTCTGCTTCCATTTTGTAAAAAGGATGTTACAGTTACAGTAATCAGTACTTCCATTTTTGTAGGACACAGAGACGATGGAATGGAAGAAGCCTGACTAGACATTTCAGCTGATGCCAGGTGGATCAGGCATGCAAGAGGAATCCCCCCCACCCCCCGCTGCCTAGCTAGGGCCAGTATAGCCTGTGATGTTGACGAGATTCCCTGGCCTGACCCAGAACAAAGATGTGATGCTGGGGCAGAATATTTTTTGTTGTTGTTTGGTGTATTGTACTGTACAGTACATTAAGGAATAAAAAATGTGCAAATGTATACACGTGTTCATTGTGTGAAAAGTTCCTTGAGGGGGAGACCCACAAGCAACATAACTTATTACTGCTTTTTGGTTTTGGTTTTTGTAGTATTGTTTTGAATTTATTGCACCAGTGTGTAATACTATGTTTTAGTGTGTGTGTGTTTTTGAAAGCTTGTGTGTGATGTTTGAGGGAAAAGTTTGGTTTTTCAGAAAGAGTGAATGGTTTTGAGAGTAGAGCTTCATTTTGACCTGAAAATAGGATGTTTGGTGAATTGGGTGAGACGTTATGGATTTGTGTTTACTGTTTTGAGAATATGAGGCATAGTTTCAAGAAATGTGTTTAAGCAATCGAGAAAAACTGTAAAGGGGTCATATGATGCTGCTAAAAATAACATTCTTTTGTGTATTTGGTGTAATGAAATGTGTTTATGCGGTTTAAGGTTGAAAAAACATTATTTTCCACATACTGTACATTATCGTTTCTCCTCTATGCCCCGTCTTTCTGAAATGCATTGATTTTTAAAAAGCTCATCGGTCTGAAAAGCGAGGTGTGCTGTGATTGGCCAGCTATCCAGTGCGTTGTGATTGGCCGAATACCTCAAGCGTGTGACGGAAATGTTACGCCCCTACCATATTGTGATGCCCTGTCCAGCCGGAGCGACGAGACAAAAACATTAAAACCAATTATAAACAAGGTATTTGTTGCATCCAGTGGGGACATAATTACGGATTATAATGAGATATACTGTCTTTTTACGCGTTGCGTTGCATGGTAAACATAAAACCATGTCTGCATTTGTGATCGAAGAAATGACAAACAACAAGGTGCTACTCTGCACTGCCCAAAACTCGCGTTTGAATCGTCAGTGGCAAATCCTTTAAATATAAAAAACACTTACAGTCTGTGAGTCAGAACAGCCGGCATTGTAGTCTACTCTACCAGGATCA